TAATTTGATGGATATATGTTGAAGCAACCTCCTCACCAATTGAAAAAGGTGTTTCCTGCACCTTGTAGTGATGGCTTCGAAAGCAATGGACCAGATGCGAGTTAGTGAAGTTGATAATATTGACCTCATCTTGGAATTTGAAGATATGTATTTAGCGTACAAAGAATTTCCTCATATGATAACTAATTTCGAAATTGGATTTGATGTGGATGTTTTGGTTAGGATGCCAAAAGAATAGTTTGGAAGAACATCTAAAGATGACACTACTTTCAATAAGTTCTTTATGAAGAAGCCCTTTAGCTTCAACCCCAATTAAGCCTTTTTGGTTTCATGGGGAATTTGAATCGGTTTGTGATACCTACACAACACGCAAAGAAAACATAACAATTCAACTTTGATCCCAGTGGAAGCACATATGAATCTAATATTATCGATAAGATAAACCAAACTTATTAAGATAAACTAAACTAATGAAATAAAAATAAACTAAACTAAATGTGATAATATAATTGGAATTCTATTAGCTTGGTTATGATAGTTGCTAAATTTCATCACCCTTCAAAACAATCTCATCCTTGAGGTTGAGTTGTGCTTCCATTGGGATCAAATATATATCGTCGCGTCTTCTTTGCATACTGCGTTGGCATCATCAATTGATTCAATTTCTCCATAGGACTCGACATCTCAGATACCCCGACACGCTACTTTTTGGAAAAATTGCGTGTCGGACACGTGTCCGACACAGACACACTCTGACATGCGGTCAACATTTTAGGACACACGGTCAACTTTCTGACACGTTCCGACACGTTTTTCCGACACACAGTCAACTCTTTTCGACACGCAGTCAACGTTCCAACACGCATCCGACACGTTTTTTTTTACTCTTAATTTTATTTTACTAACTATACTAAAAATAATAATTTATAAATCAATTTTTTTCTGTTATGAAATTTGAAATTAAAAATTAACAAGATATTAAAAATTATTTTTATTTATATGAAATTTGAATATTTGATTGGTTATATGACTTATTATGGACTGTTATATGTATTAAATATAAATTGTATTATATATTAAAAATATTATTTAATATCAAAACGTGTCCCAACGTGTCGAAATATGATATTTTTTAGAATTAATGTGTCGGCGTGTCGTGTCGTGTCCCGTGTCAGTGTTCGTGCATCATAGCTGGACATAACCATTATCTTGAACAATTGCTCTTTTCACCTTTGTGTCGCACATGCCACCCAAGCAAAAGACGCCACCACAGTTGTATAGCAGCTCTGCTGCTGCTTTCCACTGCATATACCATGCATGCTTGTTATGTTGTAGATTGGTAGGTGTGTGCTTACGAAGCATGGTGATGATCTTAAATTCAGAATGTAGATGAATACACAAGGTTTTTGTGGCTGAAGCAACAATAACGTATGATTCATTCTCTGACTGTGATTGGTCAACTTTTATATTTTCTTGATTTTTCTTCATTAGTTGGTTATCTTATGATCGGTGAATAACGTGCATCAACAAATAAAGATGGAATGCCTTTTGAATCTTGATGGCCGTTATTTCTTCATTCTATTCAACCCATTCTTGGAAGAAGGGCTTAATGCTCTCTGTGTTGCATGCATCTTGGTAAAGATGTTTTGGATTTGCTATGTAAGATCACAAAAAAATGATGGTGAATTTGGGATCAAGAGCATCGTTGTAGCAATAGAAATTAGAAAGAGAGGAGAATTAGAGAAAAAAAAGAAAAAGAATTATAGATAAGAAGAAAGAAGATAGATTGAGAATAAGGGAGAAAGGTACGAGGGAGAAAAGATAATTAGAAGAAAGATTGTAATTACTTCATTCATTTCCTTTGTGATTGAGGGATTATCTATTTTGTAACAATTTACACATTCTAATAAATAAACTAATGGAAATCATACTCTTCTCCGACAGGAAAGCAAAATTTTTTTCCTATAGAGAATTCATTTTTTGTGCCAGCTAATTTTATTTTTTTGTTGTTTTATAAAATGTGAGACCCACACTTGATTTGTTTTTGCTTTTTTTTCTCTCATGTTGTCCTTCAACATAAGAAAACATGAACTCATAAACTAAACTACCTAATAACATAATTTGAAATAAGATAACAAATATTACAATATGATATGATAAGATAAACTAAATTTATTATGATAAACCAAACCAATTAAAATAAAAATAAATTAAATTACTTGAAATAATACAATTTGAAGTCTATTAATTTGCTAATGGCGATTTCTACAATTATCTAGTTAAATTTTTTGTTGTATACCTCAATTATTTTGGGACTGCAAACGTTGCCATGAATATCTCTGGCTAACTATCTCTACTCTCACTTTGGACCGCAAGAGGTGGATCAAAATTTCAACTTGCATTTATTTGCGGAGGGAGGATATTTTGACTATCAAAAGTTTTCACTACCACCTTACTACCTATCTAATCACCATTGGATTAATATTTTCTCTCTCTAGAAAAACTTTTTAACATTCTCTCTCTTTGATCCAATGGTGATTTGATAGGTAGTAAGGTGGTAGTTGACACTTTTGGTAGTCAAAATATCCCCCTCCTTATTTGCCTGTTTAATTTTGTTATAAGTTTCTTTAAACACCGAACAAGAGTATTTTTTTGGAAAAAGAGAATTTATAATCACTTTTCTCGTACAATTTCTTACCACCATTCTAAATCAAATCAACGGTTACACTACAAGAAACAATCTTATTAGTGACAAAATTTTATGAAATTTCGTTACAAATTCTTACGTCGCAAGTAAATTTCATCACAAATTCTTGCGTCGCAAGTTTATTTATGACGAAATTTGATTATTTGTGTCAAAAATTGTCATTTGTGACAAAATTTATGACGAAATTTTTAGTCACAAATAAATTTTTTATTTTTATTTTTTTGTATATAAATAAATTTTTCTTGTAGTGTTATAAATTGATATTAAGTGAGAGTATTTAATTTTGTTTTCATCCAATAATAATTAGAATGGTTGTAGGAGATTATAAGGAAGAAATAATTATAAGTATAAATCATTCCTTAGTTTATTAAAAAAAAATTAATAAATAAAAACATAATTGATTAAATATTATTATAAAATACTGTATTTTCATTTGAAATAATATAACATAATGTTATACTGTTTAAGAGGAAAAATATTTTTCCCTTTATATTTATCTATAACCTTAAAAAATTGAATGGCTTATGTTAATTGCTCAACAAAATGTGTTAAATCAGCTATCCTTAACAGAGACATCATCGTTTTGTTTGGTTGTACAAGTATTAAGCAAGTTGCTTCAATTATATTCCAAGTGAACACGGCTCAAGCATAAGGATCAGGATTCAGGAAGAGTCAGTGTGTGGTTCATGTCCAATGCATTCCTGGACCGTGTCCGTTTTGACTCTTGAGAGGCCCACATGGCTGAATACTCGTTGCAAGAGATTCTGATTCTTGAGATTCTAATATCATAATGAAAATAAAAAGAGAAATACAAGGATAAAAAATTATAGAAAATAACTTTACCTATTTGAAACTTTAGACATTATTTATCCATAAATAATTAAATCAATGTTGTGCATTCAATTTTCGTTTAAATATGAAATGATAGATTAATGCTACTAAAATAAACCTAAATGTACAGAGATGACACACACTCATGAATGTGTACATATTTTATATTATTATTATTATGAGTTTTACTTTTCTTATGTTGAGAGATAAATTAAATGAGCCCCATCAATTTTTTAAAAAAAAAAAAAAAAAGACACATATTTTTACGTGAGTGTAACATGAAAGATGAATCTTATGTAACATAAGAGTATAATTTTTCTATTGTTATTATTATAAAGATTTCATGATAAATTCGTTTTGGGTATCTCACATTTGTTTTAACTACTATAAATTTAAGCTTCTTAATATTAATTTTGCTAGATCATTCTTAATTTTGCAAACTAATAAGATTGTTATCTTTTGTGATGAAAGATCAATTTATATATTGGTTGTCATAATATAAACTAGGGGGAAATATTTGTCATTTAAAATGACATAAAGTTATGTCATTTTAAGAGAGAGATATACACAAAATAATTTTTTTTATTTAAAATTTAAATTAAAAAAATCATTCACTTTCTCCTTATGATTTTCATTTTTTGTGTCTATCTCTTTCCTAAAATGACATAACTTATGTCATTTAAAATGACAAACGTCAAACTCTATAAACTATGTTATTAATAATTTTTGAACTATAAACAGAGTTATAAATATGGAAAAAGTGTTTGTCATTTTAAATGACATAACATTCTGTCATTTTAAGAGAGAGATAGACACAGAAAAAAAATTATTTAAATTTTAAATTAAAAAAAACCACTCACTTTCTCTCTCTCAAGATTTTTATTTGTCTGTGTCTATCTCTCTCCTAAAATGACATAACTTATGTCGTTTAAAATGACAAACACCAAACCTTATAAATATATCAAAAGTTAGTTACGTTGAAGTTTAAATATATATTATTAATAAATTTATTAAAATTACGCCCTTTATTAAAATTTCAATCATTCATGAATTATTATTGTTTTAATGAAATTTATTTTAATAACAACAAAAAAGTATTTTTTTTAACGAATATGAATTTTAAGAAAAAGGACAAAATGTTCATGGCTGACTGTATTTAACGGAAAATAATTTTTTTATTTTTCATTAAAAAATTTTCTTATATTACATTCACAATTAAAAAGTGGAATCCATCTTTATTTTTTTTATTTTTTTATGAACCACACTTATATATATATATATTTTCCTAGAAAATTAATCCCCTTATCTAATTCTTGTGATGTCCAATGGAACCACACATTGTCCTATTTCATGTGGACAGCATACTCCCTCGATCACCAGAACATAAACTCAAGTGGGGTCACATTCCACGTAATCAATCTACACAGACTACAGCCCGTTACTCACAGACAGCCAACAACATCGCAAGTCAAAACTCAAAGCACCAAACCGCACACAGGCGCGACACACCGGATCATTAAACGACTATAACTGCTCGCGTTTCGCAGCTCACCGAACTCGGAGAAGAAAACGCAGCGGCGAAACTCGTGACTCGTAACTCAGCCACGCGCGGCCATGGCGTCGGTCCACAGCGCCATCCCTACCCACTGCTTCGTGTCATCAATTTCCGAAGGAAAATCCAAATCGAAGGTCCCTCACAAGGCGCAAAACTTCCCGGTCTCGAGATTTTCCCGGAATCGGATTTTCTCGGGAAACAAACGGGTGGTTGCTGCGAATTCGGCGGCGGAGGAGCTCGACGTGATACCGGTGCAGAGCAATGATATAACGGACCAACAAGAAGGCGTGGTAGTGAGTCGTGAAGATGAGGATGGCGAGTTGGCGACTCAGGTGCGTGGGTTCGGAGCAAACGAGGGTTTGTTATCATTGGAAGGGTTTTCTTCTTCTTCTTCTTCCACTTTGGTTGGAGATGAGAGCGAGGAGAACATAGAGAAGCTGATAGATAGGACTATCAATGCCACTTTTGTGCTTGCTGCTGGTACTTTCGCTCTTACCAAGCTTCTCACCATTGATAGTGATTACTGGCATGTAAGTGAAACGATTTAGTGTGTTTTCTTTGGATAATTTTGTTCTGTGAAATGAAGTTGGTTTTGTGGTGGAAATTTGAAATAAGAAAAACTAACTTTAGATACAAATTTTGTAAATTTAAAGACTAACTCATGCAAACTTGATTCAAATTTTGTAACTTTCTTTTTGGGTTGAGATTTTCATTATTTGCTATGATTTATGTTTTTGGATATTATATATAGGGATGGACACTTTTTGAGATATTAAGATATGCACCTCAGCATAACTGGTCTGCTTATGAGGAAGCTCTTAAGACAAATCCAGTTTTTGCAAAGATGGTTATCAGTGGGGTTGTTTACTCCATAGGTGATTGGATTGCTCAGGTGAGTTTCTGTGTGTTTTTTGCGCATAGCGTAGTCTCAATTTAGATAAAAATGCAATCTTTTTTTGTAATGAATTGTGGGTTAATTTCTCCTGATTATTGCAGTGTTTTGAAGGAAAACCTCTATTTGAGTTTGACCGTGCGAGGATGTTCAGATCGGGGCTTGTTGGTTTTACTCTACATGGCTCTCTTTCTCATTATTATTATCAGTTTTGTGAGGTATAAGAATAAAGTTTTTCTCCCCCCCCCCCCTCGTTCGGCTTGGTTTTTGAAATTTCTAACTTTATGGTGATATATGTACTAAAGTGGCTTTCTAATTTAACCAGGAGCTATTTCCTTACAAAGAATGGTGGGTTGTTCCTGCCAAAGTTGTCTTCGATCAAACTGCATGGTCGGCAGTTTGGAACAGCATTTACTATACGGTTGTGGGATTCCTGCGGCTTGATTCTCCTATCAATATTTATAATGAATTGAAGGCAACTTTTTTTCCCATGTTGACTGTAAGAGAACTTTCTGGCTTTTCCTATTTCATGTATTGCATTGAAACAGTTCTTGTTTTTCTTTGAGAACCACTGAACTACATATTATATCTTTTTTTGTTGAAATGAACATAATTAGTAGCTAAAATGAAGTATCTCTCTCTATTTCTGGTTGACAGTATCACGCCCCATCCCCCCCCTTCCCTTTCTCTTTTTTTATTTTTTTTAACTATGTGGCATCTACTAGAGGAATTTGTTCTATCATCTTTCTCTAATTTGAAATTCTACCAATTCATGCTATGATCTTCAATTTATAATACTGCTATCTCCTGTCAGGAAATAGTAATGGAACTTTTAGTCCGAACATATCTTGTAACTTCTTGCTTCTAATTACACAGGCAGGGTGGAAGCTGTGGCCATTTGCTCATCTCGTAACTTATGGTGTAATACCAGTTGAGCAAAGACTTCTTTGGGTGGATTGTATTGAGCTTATTTGGGTGACCATACTTTCAACGTATGCCTCTCTGGATTTATTTTGAATTGCTATGTGTTAGAATTTGAACATTAATTGCTTCATACTATGCTTCTTGGATTTCCATATGATGCCAATCAGGATGAAATTTGATGATATTAAAATGAACACTTTCATTTCATTTTGTGTGTTCCATTTGCTTTTGAGAGATGAATTTTACATAGAAGTTTCCCTCTTGTAGAATTTGTTCAATGAAAGGAAGTAGTGTTGCAAGTTATTGTACATTGTTCTCCTACAAAATACATTAGATTCTAACCTTGCATAAAAGATTGCTTTAATCCAAATTTACCTCAATGCTTGCTCATGGAATGCTTCAAGACTGATTGATTTTAGCACTCTAAAATAATAAAATATTTCCAGCTTTTCCTACATTATTATTCATCTGAAAATATTTGCAATGGTTCTAACATAGGCTTTTTGTACTCGATAGATATTCAAATGAAAAATCAGAAGCAAGAAAGTCTGAGGTACCTACAGAATCGAAATCTACTACCTCTGTTTATCCTTGTGAAGCACATGATAATTTTATATTTATTGTGTGCACATATTTAACAAATTTTCAGCAAAAAAAGAAAATCATTTATATGGCTTCTGATGTATTTGTATTTTTTTAATGTTATATTTATCAGGAGTAACGATGAGAGGAATGAGAAGAAGAATGAGAAGGCTTTGCTCAATCAGATTGTTGAAGTTGAGTGGAGTTCACATTGAACCGGACCATGACTTGGACATAGATGTACAATGAGGAACATGGGAAAAGCTGATTGTGTATGTATATATATGTTGTATGCCCTGGAAACTCATGTATTTTAGGTAACATTAATTTTTCCTGTAAGCATTACATAATGTAATTCTTCATAAATTTTATGAGGAGATAATTTATGTTTAAACTTGTATATGAGAAAAGAGATAACTGATATGGTGGCTTAGCTTAATAAGTGTATCTCTAAGTGATAAACTGATAATGATATTGTGAGTTGTTCTGGCCTTCTATGCATCTAAATTCTTGGATTTCTTTTCCTGGATCCCATGTCAAAACAGTTGAATGCTTCTACAAATTATGGGAATTTAGCTTTCGTTCAGCTCATAACTTTTTCTTATCTGCAAGTGACTTTTGGGCTTTTGCCCAGCTGTTTATTAAAAAACTAATAACATCAACTAACTACTTTGGTAACTACAAATAGCTATTCATCTACATAATAGTAACGAATTAGAATTCATATTAATATTTACTTCTTAAGAAAAAACCTTGTCACCTAGCATTTATTCAATCCTCTGCCGTTTTGCATTAAGTTGATCTATAACCAGTTCATTTTCTAATGGATCTTTAATTATTTTTCTATTTCCTTTTGAACTAAACCATAGGTGGATGTATAATTGGTTTTTTTTTTTGACCTTTTGCCCTTTATTAATTAAAAAATAATCATTTTGCCTTTCACCCAAAATATTCCACCAATCTATCATACAAGGATAGTAGACCAGACAAGATATTGTGCTTTCCATGATGGACCATGCCACACCATCGATGAATGCTGGAATTTAAGGAATGCAATCGAAAAGTATATTAGAGATGGCAAATTGTGCCAACATCTAATAAAAACCCAAGGATGGAGGAACAACAGAAAAGAAAGGGTCGAACTTGGAGTCCGACTAGAGAAAAGAAGTCGAAGGAGGAAAGTCGAGGTAAAAAGCCGGTTAAAGATGATGATGAGTTCATAGAACTAGAATCTAAATGTAATGTGATAAGTGGAGCTCTTGAAGGAGGGGGAGATACAGTGAGTGCTTGAAGAAAATATTTGAAGGAGGTGCTTTCAGTTATAGAGCGACCTAAAATTAAGGAAGACTTTAGCAAGTCAGAACCACCACTCTTGTATTTCACAAAAGAGTTAGAGGACGTGATGCTGGGACATGTTGATGGTTTGGTGATCACTAGAACGCTGGTTAACTATCGGGTTAAGAAGATCATTTGTGGATAACGGTAGTTGTGCCGATATAATCCTATGGGATGCATTCAAGAAGATGAATCTGGATAAGAAGACTTGAAGCCCTGTAAAACCAAACCACCCTGATTGCATTCAACGGGCAAAATAGCTCCCCTAAAAGGTACATTGACCTCAAACTAACCCTGGGATCAAAGGAGGCATTTAAGTCTGAAAGGGTAAGGTTCATCGTAGCCGACTTCCCTTCGCCTTATAATGTCATTTTAGGAAGGCCAACTATCCATAATTGGGATATGTTGGTGTCCACTAAGCATCAGAAGTTAAAGATGATAGGTAAACATAATTCGGTGGTTACCATTGGAAGAGATCAGAAGGAGTCTCGAGAATGTTATTTTAGGTCGGTTAGGGCCATTGAGGATAGACCTTCATCTCCAACCCGGATTAGAGAGGGTGATCAAGCTAGTCAATCTTCAATAGAACATCAAAGACAAAAAAATTCTGTTAACATGGTAGAATTGGACATGAGAGATGAAACTCAATTGCCTAAACCTGAGCCTTGAGGAAATAACAATAGAGAGTAAGGGCAGACAACGAAGATTGGAAAAGGTCTGGAAGATGAAGTGAAAGTTAAAATGATCAAATGCCTTAAAAATAATAAAGAAGTCTTCGCATGGAAGTCGTCAAAAATTCCTGGAGTAAGTCCCACATTTTGTTGTCATAAGTTATCGGTATACCTAGAGGCCAAGCCTGTGGCTCAGATGAAAAGAAAACTCGGCTCTGAACGTAGGCAGGTTCTAGAGGATCATGTGAAGGAGCTTTTGGAAGCCGAATTCATCAGAGAAATACAATACACTACTTGGTTATCCAATGTAGTAATGGTGAACAAGCCAAATAGTTAATGGAGGATATGTACGGATTATACTGACTTGAATAAAGTATGTCCGAAGGATTCATACCCTATGCCAAACATTGACCAATTAGTGGATAGTTCTTCTGGATTCAGATTGTTATCCTTTATGGATGCGTATTTGAGATATAACCAAATCCCATTGTATCCTGATGATCAAGGGAAAACTGTCTTTATCTCAGAAAGGGCAAACTACTGCTGCCATTTGGATTAAAGAACTCCGGGGCTACTTACCAAAGGATGATGAACCGAGTTTTTGAAGACCAGCTCGGAAAAAATGTGGAGGTATATATTGATGATATAATAGTAAAATCATTGGAGCTTACTACGCATATCAAAGACTTGGAGCAAATTTTTGAAAAGTTAAGAAGGCATAATATCCGGTTAAACTCGGCAAAATGTGCCTTCGGTGTCCCTGCTGAAAAGTTTTTGGGTTTCATGTTAACCCACAGAGGTATTGCAGTAAACCCGGATAAATGTAGAGCGGTACTAGATATGCAAACACCAAAAAGCAAGAAGGAAATACAAAAGCTTACTGGAAGGTTGGCTTCCCTTACCAGATTCTTGCCACGATTAGCAGAAACGGCGTTGCCTTTCTTCAGGTTGTTGAGAAAAGAGGTATAGTATGGGTGGAGCTCGAAATGCAAAACAGCGTTCCAAGAACAATTGGCTTCCCCACCGATTCTGTCAAAACCAAGGCCGTAAGGAACTTTGATAATATATCTCTCAGTTGGAGAGATAGCAGTAAGTGTTGTATTAGGACAAGAAAATGAGAAAGGCCAACAGCCAATTTACTTCACAAGTCGTTTGTTACAAGGAGTGGAGCTTAGATATCAAAAGTTGGAGAAAGTAGCATTCACTTTGTTGATCTCTGCTAGAAGACTCAGAGCATATTTCCAGGGGCATAAGGTGGTGGTCAGGACAGATTTACCGATTAGGCTGATCATTCATAAACCAGATTTGGCAAGACGAATGATGAATTGGGCAAGTGAGCTATCAGAGTTTGATATCACCTTTGAAAATCGAAAGGCTATCAAATCTCAGGCTTTAGCCAATTTCGTCAGAGAGCTCACTTCGATCCAAGATGAAGATTAGCTAAATCAAGATGTTTGGAAGATCTATGTTGATGGCTCCTCCAATGCAAAGGGAAGTGGAGTCGAGATAATCATTGTAAGCCCTAATGGCATATCAGTGGAATACTCACTTCAGCTAAATTTTAAAACATCAAACAATCAGGCGGAATATGAAGCTTTCATAACCGGGTTACAACAAACAAGGAGCTTGGAGCACATAAACTTCAGGTGTTCAGTGATTCTCAATTGGTTACTTCTCAAATTGAAGGTAACTATTAAACTAGAGGACCATTGATGACCAAATACCTAGAAGTAGCCAAGCAATTGATGGCCGAGTTTGAAAAGGTGGATATAAGCCACATACCCAGGAATGAGAACAACAGAGCTGATATATTATCCAAATTGGCAAGTACAAATGGTAGTAGAAATCACAGGACAGTGATAGAACAAAATGTCCCAGAGCCGACATGTATTATGATAATCACAACAATTGAAGACTGGCGGTCCCCCATGGTGACATATATGGAAAAAAGAATTCTACCACCAGAAAAAGAGGAAGCTAGAAAATTAATCCAAGAAGCAGCTCTATAGACAATGATAGGGGGGCAACTCTACAAAAAGGGATTGTATTCTCCTTTATTGAAGTGTTTGAACTCGGATAGGGAACAATATGTTTTATCCAAGATCCATGAGGGAATCAATGGACAACATGTTGGAAGCAAGGCTCTAGCTCAGAAGGCACTTAGAGTTGGATATTTTTGGCCATCCATAAATGAAGATGCCAATGAACAAGTCAAGAAATGTGACCAGTGCAGAGGCATGGAAAACATCTTTTGGCTCCTCCAGAAGAGCTCAGTGTTATTACTGCTCCTTGGCCATTCTTCAAGTGGGGAATGGGTCTTTTAGGTCCGTTCGCAACATCTGAAGGCCAGCTGCGATGGCTAATTGTAGCCGTCGGTTATTTCACAAAGTGGATAGAGGTTTAGCCAGTGACTACTATCACCTCGGCTAGAATACAATTGTTATTTGAAATAAATTTGATATGCAGGTTTAGCATCCTGGCTGAGATTGTCACTGACAATGGAACCTAATTTGCAAATCGATACTTTTAAGAGTTGATGGCAAATCTCCATATTCGACATCGCTTTGCCTCGGTGGAACACCCGCAAACTAATGGTCAGGTTAAAGCGGCAAACAAAGTGATTGTTGATCGGTTACGAAAAAGATTAGAACAAGCTGCAAAAGAAAAGTGGGTTGAAGAATTATACTATGTTCTCTAGGGATACATGACCACAACACAGACCTTGACAGGAGAAACACCTTTCAGGTTAGCTTATAGATGCGAAGCCATAATTCTGGTGGAGCTAGGTGAACCATCTTGGAGGAGAGTTAAGACTCTATCACAAACAGAAGAAGAAAACAATAAAAAATGGCAGTTGAATTAGACTTGATTGATGAGGTCCGAGTTATAGCCCATTGCCAGAATATTGCGGTAAAACAGTTAATAGCAAACCGATTCAATAAGAAAGTGAAACCCCAGTCATTTGAAATAGGTGACTTAGTTCTCCGACGAGCAGAAATTGGAGGACAGAATACAGCAGAAGGAACATTAGCCTCGAGATGGGAGAGACTTTATCAGGTGAAAGAAAAACTTGAAAAAAGAGCCTACATGCTGGAAACTCCAGATGGAAAAAGCACTACAGTTGAGAGTTGAATTTTCTTTGTTGTAATTTCAAAGCTTGTTATGAAAAGCTATGTCAAGAAATCTTCAATTCTCAATAAACGAAGAGTATTTGTCATTTTCATATGAATTAAAAGAAGCCGAGGTATTGGAACCTACCTGGCAACATGGTAAGTTACCATAATGCAAGGCAGTGGCTTCTAGCCGAGGCATTGAAAAACGAGGGACGCCCTTAAGAATCCAATTGTTGCTAAAAATGCAACATAGTGCAAGTTCTGATAAAGAAATCAGGCTTAAGAAATTAAAAAATGGTGAATTGAAATGACCCTGATCAGGTCAACATGCCACCCTAAAATAAATAAACCGGGTTAAGTAAAACCAGGTTGCTAACATAGCAGAATCTACGAAAAGACCTCGG